TTATATTTATTTTTCTTTAATTTATTTAACCAAATAAAAAAACATAATCTCTCTCTCCCTTTCCTTAATTTGTCTTTTTTAATCTATACAAAAAAAAATTAATACTAATCTTTCACTCTCCTTCCTTTTCCCTCTCTTTACTTCCCCTCCCTTCCTTCACTTTCCTTCACTAATTTATATCCAAATATGGTGTAGTGTAATTCTTACATCATTTTCACATTAATTAGTATTGAAATATACAAAAAATATTATTAATTTCTTCATCAGTGTCACATGAATCATTTTAATTAAACAATTACTTAAATAAAGGTTAATTTTTATTTTTTTAATACTAATTAAAACTATAAAAAATATGTAATAATTGTACTCATAATTTGTATCATTATGATACAGATTAAAAGGAACAATGATTAGTACATCATTCGGTTAACACATTACACAACACACTTCGATTTAACTATTAAAATTTACTTTTGAAAAAATTTTCATCGTGAATTTAAATTTAAAAATAATAATTTTTTAATAAATGTGTTATAAAGTGCATTGAATTAAAAGTATATCTATCATTTTCCTATTAAAAAATCCTAAAAGAAAAACAGCTTTTGGCTTACCCTGCTCCTCAAACGGTGGAAGACAAAATGCCCTCATATCAACATACACTTGAAAAGTTCCTCAAAAGAACATCCCAATAATTAATAATTTAAATCTTGATATTGGAGATTTTAAATTTAAATTCTAAAAGTGACAGTGGCAAAACTACTTTGTATAATGGTTGGGCATAGGCCGTACCATAAATTCTAAAAATCTGAAAAGAGGAATGCTAGCTGCACTCGCCTTTCCCCAGCACTCTCCAACACTCCCTCATCTAAAATAGCCACGTGAACTTTTCTAGTTGGAAACTTTGAATTGCCAGCCAAAGTTTGTTACGTGGACATTTTACATGAGAGAGTGCTGGAGAGTGCTGGAGAAAGGCGAGTGCAGCTAGCATTCCTCATCTGAAAAAAGGAGATGCCCAAGTTAAAATTTTAGGGAAAATAATGTTAAGCCCTATCCCTTATCTTCTTTTAAGATAAAGAAAATGCTTAAAAATCAAGATTGAAAATATAGAAAACCCTATCCTTAATTGATTAATGGTTGGTCGTTATGGCCGGGTTGAAAGGAATTTGAAAAGAAAATTATTATTTTTTCTTTTATAATTTATCATTTAACATATAAAAAAAATACACCTGAAAATTCCAAATGCAATAATTAATATAAAGCATGCCTGTCTGGCAAATGGAAACATCAGACCTCGTTTCCTCTTCCTTGAAAATTGCTGCTTCATCTTCGAAGTTGATTAGATATAAGGATAATTATTGGTATATCATTTGATTTAATATATTGTATAATATATTTTGATTTA